GTATGTATGTAAAATGCTTATACATGCACATAAATGTTTTTGATTTATGATTTTGTAATTATATCAGCAGTGATTATTGTTACTTTCTTAACTTGATGAATTCATTAATTACTTTTTAAAAAAAAGCATATAAAAGAAAACTGCGTTGCATTTTGCCTGAAGATGAAAATTTGAGGACATCAAAGCTTTGGAAACAAAAGTGAATGGTGTGTGGAAAATCAAATAAAAAATATGCAAAAGGCAATCATTTATTTTATCTCACGTGCAATCTCAAGTGTACATATGTACACACTTTCACATACATACAATGCAACACTCATGCACGCTTATATATACTTAAACACACACACACACATATATATATATATATATACACACACACACACCCCTCCAACTACTTTGACCTATCACAGAATGTTTAGACTACTTATGATTTTATTATTATTGTTGTTACTAAATTTTAACATATTTATCTTGCTTATTAAATGAACCATCTCATCTTTCTCTCTCTCACACACACACACACACACAGAATTGCGTGGTTATTTTTCTTGTTTGGTCATCACATTTCAGTCATCTGAACTTGGTCATTATTCTATCTATCTATCTATCTATCTATCTATCTATCTATCTATCTATCTATCCCAGTCTGTTCATATCTATCTATCTCCGTCTGTACATATCTATCTATCTATCTATCCATCCCAGTTTGTTCATATCTATCTATCTATCTATCTATCTATCTATCTATCTATCTATCTATCCTAGTCTGTTTATATCTATCTATCTATCTATCTATCTATCTATCCATCCTAGTCTGTTCATATCTATCTATCCTAGTCTGTTCATATCTATCTATCTTCATCTGTTCATTATCTATCTATCTGTCTATCTATCTATCCCAGTCTGTTCATATCTATCTATCTATCTATCTATCTATCTATCTATCTATCTATCTATCTATCCCAGTCTGTTCATATCTATCTATCTATCTATCTATCTATCTATCTATCTATCTATCTATCTATCTATCTATCCTAGTCTGTTCATATCTATCTTTTATTTTTTTAATTGGTATCACAGGAATTGGGAAGTATAGGGCTAGAATGGAGATGCACAAGGGAGAAGTGTGAGAAAATAAACTGTTTGCATAGGACTACATCTATTCAGCTCAACTGTAAATTGATGAGATTTCAACACCAGTCTAGTACTGTGATTAAATTCAAAAAGTCTAGATACTATAGCGAAGATCTCATCGGAACAATTACCATGAAAGTATTTATAGAAGGGACATAAGGAGGCAACCTTATGGTGGTGGGAAAGTGACTGAAGATGAGATGCAAGATCAGGACTGATAATATTGTTGATTCTGCTTTGGATCTTATGAAGGAGCTCAAGTTAAATAGCAGGGACCCTGGGCATATATGGAAGCAATATTCAAAATATAGTCAAATGGTAGACTTATAGATATGCAAGATAGATTCTAGAGACAAAAAGTATCTCACATAATTTAGTAAACCAACTTAGCAGCTGACCTAGCAATGAATTCAATATAGTCTTTCCACTTCATGCCAGCTGAGAATGTTAGCCTGAGAAGGAGCAATGAGTCATTTTCTTGGAGGTTAGCATCAGCCATGATGATGGAAGGTAGAGAAGGGTCTCTCAGATGATTAACAGAGAGAAGTTTAGTTTTGGATGCATTAGAATTAACAAGCTGCCTTTTGTTCCAGTTAATGATAGACAAGTTTGTTTTGGACATTGGCTGCCATTTTGATATTGTCAAACTGATGAGCCTTACTATCAAGCCAGGAGTAAATTGTTGTGTCATCAGTGTAGATACCAAGTTGAGAGATGATGCCATCAGGAAGGTCATTAATGAAAATTAAAAAAAGAGTAGGAACAAGGATGAAGCTTTGGCGGACCCTACCTTTTTATCTTAGTCTGCACTTATATGTCTGTTTGTCTATCTATCTACATTGTAATTGTTCTGATGAGATTACTGCCTTCTTTGGTACCTCAATTTCATGAATTTAAATGCAGTACTAGATGGCTTTCTCCCTGGTGGAATGCTCTTCCAGCTTCCTGTTTTCCAGTCCATGTTGAGCTTCAAAAAATTTAAATGCAATTTTAATCATAATCATTTGTCTTCTTAATTTTTGTCTTTTTATTGTTCTCTCCCCTTTATGATGTTCATTGTTTTCTCATATTCTTTAACACTCAGTTGCATATTAGTGGCTTTATTGCCTTGCTTGAGGTGAAATGATTAAAAATATAATTTAATTTCATCTGAGAACAATACATTCTGTTGACTATGTTTGCCGTAGTCTTTGAATATAGAATCCAGTGCAGTACATAATGTGTTCAATGGAACAATGCCAATATCACTAGTATCAGCTGTTCAGTAATTCTTCAGGTCTTCGATATCAGAGGCTGGCAACTAATATTCAGAAAAAAAACATTCTGCCTTTATACACGTCGCATTGAATATTTTGAGCCTTCT